GCAAGTCAGAGTCCCAATTTAATAATAAAATTTTTTGTATACAATTTTTTATACGTTACACTTTTATTAAATAAAATTAATAAAGTGGTAGTAATTGGTTCATTTTCCCTGGTAGGTTTGTAGTATGAGAAAAACCTGAATAACCTTTCCGACTGTTTTTGCTGTACTGAATTTTCAACCATTCTCTGTAAATGCATCAAAACCTCTGTGCGGTTCAGATACGAGGTTCCGATGCTTTATCGTTGCAGTCGGTTATAATGGATTTCTCGTACGATCGATGGGAGCCGATTTTATGCAACCGTTCGTTTGGCGATAGCTTTGTTCAGTTCGAGCCTTAAAAAGAGGCAAAGCAGTCGTTTCTAAAAATAATGTACCAGTTCCTGGCGTGTATTCAACCACGACCGACCATTGAACATGAACCATCCCGTTGAGTCGATGAAATAGTTTGTCGACCGATAGAAATATCGTCGCGTGCCTTTCGATGCGACCTTAACGTCTCTTTGGAACGCCTGAAAAATACTTCGAACGATAAACTACGTATTATTTTGACGATTGTTAATAGAATAATAACATGCTCCGTACTTGCTTCAAATTTCGAATCTTCGATTAGGCTTGGAAAATTGAGCAGAAAGACTTACAATATACCGATATATTATTAATTAAAGTAAATTGTTTCATTCTTTACGTTAACATTACATTGGAAAAGGCAGGTAGTCAGAGTTATACTTTGTCTCTTTGCTTCTTCTTAATTTATATTTCAACGAACGTGTCGATAACAGGAATACGTGAGCTGAGGAGGCAATTGATTTTCCGGCTATTTACCTATTAAACTTCTCATAGGAAAACATACACCTGTCTGGCGCGAGCACGTGTGTCAGTCCTGTAAATATTTCACTCTGAAAGCAATCACCGTTTCTATTAATAATTTTGATTCTTTTTGTTGGCACGCGCCGCTGAAACTAAACGCGTAAAATCCGAACGTTCGAGGAATAATTCAGTGACCATTAATATTATTCATTGATCGTGGACTTGGCATTCTAGCAGGTCTCTTAAACTAAGAGAAAAAAAAGTCAAGAATTCGATTTCCGTTTGTTTTTAGATTCTGCCCGAGTGTGTTTACGTGTCTATGAACGTGTTCATTGCCATTTGAACCAAATACCCTGGTGGACAGAATGACTATAAAGATTGTACCGTGACTAAAATTCTTTAGTTAAGATTTCCTTCGTTTTTCGGTTCGATGTCCTAGCTTTTCTGACTCATTAGTTCACTCACTTTTCTTCATATAGAATTGATTAGTTAGAGATCTTAGAGAGCGCTTAGATCAGTTAGCTGTTAGAGTGTTAGAGGATCGCTGCTGTGATCAACCAATCGGAATCAACAGACGAAATACTCTAATTTTGACAAACATCTCTTCCGTACAATAATAACCCTCAATTTTGTTGTCCCAAAAAACATTCCACCAATGACACTGTGTTGGCGTCCATAGAATTTACGATACATGATCTCCTAATTGTCTACAGCAGTGATGTCAATAAGTCTCATCATAGAAAAGCAAAGTATAAACTCATTAACCCTACAAAAAAATATTTTCTCGAGGACTTAAAACTCTGTCAAGAAAGAAAGTCTCCCAGTAAATTAGCCCAAAATTATTCCAAAAACCGATGCAATTCTCCTTGCTAGAGATGACCAACCAACTGTTGCAAACAACTAGGCTCTAAATGGCCCAGCGTGTTGCACCAGGGTCAACCAAATCGTCTCCCCGAATCAAACATTGACCAGTGTTTAGTATCGAGACCCCCGTATCGCCGTATGATACATCCCCGTTTGAAAATAGCCGAGGCGAAATTTTCCGATCGGTTCGGAAAATTACCTGGGAAAAGTCGATCCGTTGAAATACACAAGCTGGTTTCCCTCGATTGATTGGCGCCTACCTCTCACGGTATTTCGCCGCGTTCGTTTATTGTGCTTGTTACGTGTGTCTCGTACTACGGTCATACCCATCAGGTATATCACTATTCTTGGCACGGATCGAACGAGGGCCCGGCTGCAAAAAAAAAAAAAAAAAAAAAAAAAACAAGCGACGCCTATAGAAAGAAAACGTAGAGACGCCAACAGTATTGGGCGTGATGTGTGATTCACATAAAGCGCCGTGTTTTCTTCTTCTTCTTGCGTGTCGTTATTGTGTTGTGTTGTCACTTGTCCAGCTTTTTCGCCGTCTACGTCTATTGTACCACGTACACTGGCGATTCCTTGCGTATCCCTCGAAACAATGATGACGATATACAAGGTGTCTCAACTAACTTGACCACCTCGAATAATGACTTAACGGTACACTTTATGATAATTTTGAGGCGTGGAGCGTAAATGGCAAAAGTGTAGTCCAGATTTACGGGGATTCAGTGATTGTAGACAGTAAAGGTTAATTAACCCCTTGCCTTATCATTTGTTTGACGACTGCTCTCTCAAGAATTACTTTATCGTTAATAATTTTACAGATACAAAAAGAATTCTATTCTTATGGCAAGTGTAAGATTTACTCCAAATCTTAAATGTTAATACCAGCGAAACAGTATTTCACTTTGACTTAAAGAAAACGAATTATATGAATGTTTATTTAATACAGTTTGAAATTGTCATCACGTGTGTGACTCGATGTTATAAGGCAAGGTGTTAAGATTGCGAATAAATCGAGAAGACTATATATAGGGATAAATGTTTTCTGTCTTTGTATCGCCAATTCTGTTTACCTCGGAAAACCTTCGTGTGTCAAGGGCTTAAGTTACATTTAAATTACAGAAACATCTGGCTGTCGGGTTCTGTTCCCGGCTGTTTTCTAATCTCCACTTATGCAAATAAAACCGCGCGACGGCGATGAATATTCCGTTTGCTGGGGAGAAAACAGACGACGAAAAATAAGATATATATGATTTAAACAGTTTCCTATATTGAAATGGCTTACGTTGAAAAACAACGACGACACAAATAAAATTATAACATTTAATTTTTCTCAGTACCTATAGTCTACCGTTGTTTGAAATTTCCACATCAAATTTTTAACATTATCTTGAATGAAAATTTCCAATTAAATAATCCTTTGTGAGTCGAGCAGTTTTGTTGTCCGAATCGCCACCAATAAAATGCATTGTACACATTACAATAAACTCAGTAAAATAAACTCAGTAAAATAATTAGAAGAAACTGAGTATCCACGAAAAACAACCGACCTTTCCGGCAGCAGGTACCGATAAAAGTAGGTTCCCTTTTTTTTTTTTTTTTGCATCGAACGGTGTCCCACTTCTCGCCGTCAGACAGAGATCACGCCGCACAAAGAAATCATTTCCCTCGTCGAACAGTTCTAAGCTCATTTGTATTCAGCGCCGATGGTCATCGACCATCCAATGCCAGTGTGGCATCTGCGGTGTACACTTAAATCGGTCGTTCATTCCTCGAAGACGCACAGTGCACCTAAGAAAGCCGTGGCGTCCGTATCGTTTTCTATGTCGCGCGTAGCAACATTGTTCCTCGACTAATTAGCCTCGTATTTACATACAATTCTCGAACTTCTTTCTCGATACAGTTAACATCTCGTATCTACGATCAACGAAGTGGTGTGTTGTTTCTGCGAGTTCTCCGTCTCAATGATCCAATTCACCGTAACAGAAATGGGAACAGTCCTTTCCGTGTCGAATTGTGAATATCGGAAGATCGAGAAATAAATATATAGAAACTTTGTGTTTTGGAGTTAGTGTTCATACTTCGTCGGGTTTAAAATATTATAGTACACTATAAACACGTAGACTCGTTGTAGAAAGTAAAATAATCGATTCTAGGCAGCGTTCCCCGGAAGTGTTCTCCAGAAGTGTTCTCCAGAAGTGTTCTCCATTTTTCGGGAACAGTGAAACGCATCAATACGCCGAAAACTGTACCGATTCCCTGCAAAGTGTTTAATTGTATCGAAAAAGAACTGACCAGCTTAAAATGTGTTTCATCTGCTGTCTGTTGATATCGATGTGCAATTACTTCTCTGCCACACCTGGAAGAGACAGACGATAATGAAAAGGAACTGTTCGAGATGGAACATGTCTCTTGATCTCCGATGGTCTTCATAAAAATTTCACGACACGTTCGCTGAATCATATGTTTGTTTGATGGTCGTGTAGAATTTCACAAGGTCGCCTTGAATCCAGTCTCGAAAATATTCAAGATTCTTCTCGTGCACGAGTTTTTACCAAAATGGCCGCCGGACAGTCTACAGGAAGTTTCGGAGAAATCGAAGATTTTCAAGTTTCTCGCTGAAATGAAAATCTAATGTTTCGCGAGTTTTCAACCGAGAAATATTAAATATATCCACCTGTGTGAAAGGGAAAAATGTTGTTCCGCCGACAAACCAGCGAACCGACCGGAAGCGTCTCCAAGAGTCCTAACACGTCGATGGCTCACAGTACAAGCTCGTCCGGTATATTGTCGAGCTGGTACACGAAAATCACGACGAACGTGAAGAAGAGACAGCCGTTCAGTCCGAAATCACTGTTGAAGAAAGCGTTGGTACTTATTACTGTTTTAATCGTTGTATTTTCATGGTTGGACCGAATATTTTATTAACGTGACGTCTGAAAGATTTTTAACCCCTTTAACGCCCAAACACTTCTTCTGGGAAAAAAAAAACTATTTCACGAGATTAGAAAAATTAAAAATGGTCCCAATATGCGCACCTCATCTGTATTTTCACGGCAAAACCACTGGTAATACGATTTTCTAGATGTGACATTATGTCACACTGGGCGTTAAAGGGTCAAGCGATGCACGAGTCTTTCGCGGGCGAAAGTGACTAAATAGACATTTATGTCACTTATATTATTGTGAATACAATTTTATTATTCTTCTTTGTTTATTGTTTCGTAGAGTCATTCAATCTGGCAAATGAACGGCTCGTAGCGATAATCACTGTGGAGGAATATTCTACGTGTTAATTAACATTTGTTTTTGTTTTTATTTTTCAGCTGCCTGTTGTTGATCCTTTCCTGGAGAAAGTGTCGCTCTCTGATCTCAGTAAGTTTCACCATTTTTTTTATTTTGCTCTGCTTCTTTAAGACTCAATTGACTGTACTAACAGTAAGATTGAAAATTATATTTTTAAATGGACATTACTGCTCGGAATTTTGGAATTCGTCGAAAAGTGTATTTTGACTTTGTTTCGTAGAAAATGAATAACACTGAATGATCCAATTTTCTCAATTTTAATTGTTTAACAATACAATTTCATCCAATCAACTTTGGGATTACTGAAAAACACCGTCAATTCTGCATATGTCGGGGAAAACGAAACAGAATTCTTTATCTATCAATACAATAATTCTAATTTTTACGAAACATTCCATATGACTATAAATGTGCACAAAGATCTGCACTCTATTCACAATAAACATAAACTTTCGAGCGGTAGTGTACATCTGAAAAAAAGGAAAACCCAGAAAAATCAACTTGAACAAATTGAATCGGGGTCCTTTTTTTGTTAGTAATAAAAGGGTCAAACTGAAAGATTCAATCCTCTGGAAGCTTCTTGTATTCGAAGTTCGAAAGCGAAACGATGTCACAATGTCTATACGCTTCCCCCGTTGAAAATCAGATAATTTATAATCGCAGACAACGACTAGCAACATTTATCCGAGAGTGCTTCAGCAGCACTCCATCAAATTTCCTTCGTTGAAAAGTGTACGCAGAGAGAGCAGATTTTCATAATGTAGTAGTAACGGATTACTCTACCGACTTCACTCTCGTGGATCCTCTTTCGTCCCAAGTTTCGTTTCTTCGTCGTCAACGTTCCGTTTCCCTTGGTCGAGCACGAACGAAACCACCTGCGGATGATAGAACGGTCTCGCGAAAGCTACCACCCCTTTCGAGTGAAAGAGAGGGTGGAAAGCTAGGCGAAATCGATGGAGCTCCTAATGTATTTATAAATAAGTGGTCGCCCTTAAATGAGAGCTCCTCGACTGGAGGATTGTAACTGAATTCGAGATCGTCGGATCACATATTAAACCTGTCGCGTTTTAAAGAAATCGTGGGTTCCGTTAAAAAAATTATAAAATATATAATCATTATGTTTCATTAGAAAAATTTGTGAAGTGATTTGGCAATTGTTAATTATTCCAGATAATTAACCGACCAATTGAACAAAGAGATTGGACAGGGTGGTCGGTAATTGATGGTACAGCCGGTAAAGTGGTGATTCTACATAAAAAAAAAATAAGCCGAAAATATAGAATAAAACTTCTTGATTTCAGACTTCGTTTTGGAGATAATCGAATTTGAAAAATCTGCTGGATACACGTGCCATCGAATAGGACTTGACCAACGTGTCTGTTCATTGCATTCCAGTGCTTTTAGATAAGAAGCCTATTGATATTATCCCCAGATCAGGGTTACAGAAGAAATTATGTTATTCTATTAGAGTTTCTTCTATTTTTCGTAAATGTAAATTCCTACTGTGATTCAACTGTTTAGTACTAAACATATTAAATATTAAATCTACTAAACATATTAAATAGTAACCGGTAGACAATGTGATGATAGTTACAAAATCTCTTTAAATTTATTTTCATTCCTCTTAAATTCATTGGCCGTTGGACCCTATTTGTATCGTTAAAAAAAAAAGATCACTTTTACTTCGTGGACTTTTCACGGGCATTACTTCGCCACTCAAACGGTGCTAACATTTTTATTCATGAAACGTCAGAGCATTCGCATAATTAGCACTTATATACGCTCCTGGGCAAAAGAGGCCCTGTGTCTCGGAAGCCGGGGCGTGCGCGTCGAATTATAATCGTTTTCCCGGGATCGGGCAACGAAGAGGGTCTGGAAGCTTTAAATCAAACCAGGAAGCATCTTCCCACGTGCTCTCTCGACAATCATCCGTTTATGTGGATTTCCCCTTGAAAACTGTGGCACTGAGTTCCCTCCCTCCCATCCACCCTTCCACCCTTTTGGTCCTATGGTATCCTTCCTTGGGGTGTCGTGGGTGTACATGGTGGCCCGATCGATGAATTCCCGGGAGGTCCAGCTCGCCCGCGCGCACCGGAAACCGAGGGTGGATTTACAGAGAGGATGGGGGAGATCAACGGGAATGGACCAACAATCTGATTCATGAGCAGACGGAACAAAAGGTGGGGGAAACGGGGGGATAAAGCAACGAACGTGTGCGCGCATTCTCGGTCGAGGTACATACACTTCAACCCTTAACCGGACATGCAATTCTTTCGTGCGGAAACGGTCACATGACGTGTGTTTTTAGGAATTGGTAGAGAAACGAAATTCTAACAGAGTTGTTTAGAAAATTGTACGAGACGTTTGGTCAAAAGGTTTCCAGAATTTTGTATAATTTATTTGAAAAAATATTTATTTATTCGTCAATATTGATACGTATTAGAAAGAGTCTTAGTGAATAGAGAGAGTCTGACTAGTTTAAAAGAATTTGAAAAGTTAGGAGTACCAGAGTACCTCCGTGGCTCGGTTGGTTAAGGCACAGGTTGGTCTATAGAGAAGAATCCAAACGACGCTGGCTCGAGTCCCACTCCACCTGGTCCTCATTTTTCCTAGGTTCTCGAAATATTATTGACCACTTTCGTTACGAGCCAAAATCTTGACCTCTATTTAAACAGCTGAATATAACGTTTGAAACGTTGAAAAAAATATTACAAAACTCGTCATATATCCCCTTCGAACTGTGTCTATAATGTTTGTCTGATTGAATTTTCGTCAGAAATCATTAAAGTTCCCTGAATTATCAAAGTGTGTCACTTCTGTATCCCGTTCTGGATATACCACCATTTAGAGAGTGAGAAGATTTTATCACCAAATGACCTTGAAGGGTGATCTTAACCCCCCAATGACCTTGAAGGGTGATCTTACCCCAAAATGACTCTGATATACATATAGAATAAGTACGAATTCCGCACAACCCCTTAGAAGAAGGTTATGTTTCCCTGATGACGTCCCTGAAACTTGTTCAGCTGGATTCTTCTTCTGATTCAAAATGTTTCCGTTACTCACAGTGGAGTATAAAAATTTCCTCCGTACCTGCATACTCGTGACCACATTATGGTATAACCTGTAGAACCTGTAGATGAATGAATCACAGGGACAAGTCGTGTAGATTAGAAAGGGATCAGGGGTGGGGATACAATTGAACAGAAAAGAATCTAGCCGGAAAAGGGGGATAAAAGCCAAGATGTGGATAAGCTTGACTTGCAACAAGGTCGCCGGGATTTCATTCTGTGACGTATTCTCACATTCGCATTTGGGTCTAGGTCATGGGGCGAGGTTGTGCGTTCGATAATACGGGACCTCGGGGTAGGAAACGAGTAATGGAGTTTTTGTTGCTCGCTTGCTGGCGCTCCCCCGACGTTTCTGGCGTCGAAAAACGAGTCTTCGATCGCGTGTTCATTCGGTGTCTCTGTTATATAGATTCTTCTGTTATCCGAAACTTCTTTTGTCGCGCGATAATGGATCGGTGTAGTGGATCACCCTAACCATGTTCTTATTTGCAGTTACATTATTGAAAGATATTAGATTTATTACTGAAGGGACACAATGTTCTCCAAGAATACCTCGTAGAAAGTTTCTGTGGTAGTTACACGTTTGCAAAGAAGAGGTGGGAGAAGCATGGTACTCGTAATAATCTAGTAATAATAAGGAACGAAGGGTAACCGAATAAAATGTGTAGCCTGGAAAATTTGAGCGATGGATTATTCCATTTTCCATTGGGGTTGAACCTAGACCTCGATCCATATAGAACTGCATTATAAATAAACGCTCCCTTAGCGGCGCTGTAGGAAATCGTGTGGAAATACGGTTACACATGTCCCGAGCCACCGAGAGCGCTTCCATAGGTAATTTTAAATAACTTCTAAGGATGAAGAGGAATATGAATATGGAGGGTGTTAGAAATCGTTACCCTCGTGTCAACGCCGTTAAAGCTCTACAAACAACGGAAGCGAATTAGTATCGTTTCAATTTATAGAGATCACCTCTCTACTATTTGACTTTCTTGAATTCATGCAAGCTGTTAATTAGGTCAACACGGTCAGCGATGATCTTCAGTAATTTTCAACGACGGTGTAAAATGAATTGTGAATAACAGTTTAAAAAATTCATTCCTTTCCACTGCTGCGTAATTATCAGATTGCGGAGTTTTATGCACATTCACAGTTTTAGGCATTAATATAGAAACGTCAAAATTAGACAGAATTTTATTTCCTGTACCAACAGCTGTTATTAAGCAGTATTAATTAACAATATATTAAATTAGTAAACAATAGAATTTATTTATAATAGAGACTATTAATTAATCAATAACAGAATAATATTCTACAGTCTGTCAGTTAGGGATTGCCACAAATTACATAAACATGTGCGGTCTGGTAATGATAATGTCTATAATAGTTCTTATCGATTAACCATGACTACGCTCCAGCTGTATTTGTTGCTAAACGAAGGCAATCGATATAACTGTCGTTTGCAGATGGGATCCAGACCGAATAAGCCCCACGCAAAAATAAGAAAAAAAGGTACATGCTGTTTGCTAGGAATCATAAAGTACTTAACGCTTCTACTGTAAAATAAAAATCGACCACTCGTGGTTTCGAGCAGAATGTTATATTCGGCCCGTAATTAGTGAGTAATTGGACAACAGTATCATTTGTGTCGGTTAGTCGCAACAGAGACGGATAATAGACGGTTGCGAATCGATATTTGCGAGTCCAATTAATTCGAGGCAAGCTTAATATCATCGGACCATTCTCGTGTCTCCTTTATTTCTTTAACAACCTTCCTCTCTGTGTTGCCGTTTTACGTAACTACGTTCCGAATGGCTCGGTTCTTCGCGCGGGTAGATTTCATTTAACGAAAACCGTGTCGCGTCATTGCAACGTTTCCAGCCATTCTTCTCAGACCTTTCTCATCTGAACAAAACGTCAAACAGTATTCCCTCTTTCAATAAAGGAAAGTGAATTTAACCTGTTAATTTTTGTAATTGAAAGACTTTCGATTACACC